AAATAAGTTAATCAGAGAAAGACATGTATCATATGACCTCATTGATATGAGGAATTCTTAATCTCAGGAAACAAACTGAGGGTTGCTGGAGTAATGGGGGGTGGAAGGGCTGGGGTGGCTGGGTGATAGACATTGGGGAAGGTATGTGCTATGGTGAGCGCTCTGAATTGTGTAAGACTATTGAATCACAGATCTGTACCTCTGAAACAAATAATACATTATATCTTAAAAAAAAACTAATAATGTAATGTATGGTGATTAACATAACATAATAAAAAAAAAGTATATAATGAAAAAAAAAATAAAAGAGAGAACCAGAAACACGGGTTATAGTCCCACTTACGACATTTAACAGAATCGTGACCTTGAACACATCACTTTGCTTCTCTCAGAACTTTTGGTCTCTGAGTTCCACTGTCTCACTAAGGTTTTGATCAATTCAGTAATTCAATCATCATTTGTAGTTTTTACAAAATGATTCACTTAGAAGTGCTCTGAAACAGTTTGTTGATTAAACATTCTCCAACCCTGGCCATCTTGTTAACTCTATTCATTCAGTCAGCAAATAGTAAACTTCAGCCCACAGTGTGTAAGAATGAAGCCAGGGCTTCTGCTGAACCAGCTCTGGTGAAATCTGCTCGAGCAACACTGTTAAATACCCAAGTTTGAAAGTCTCCAAAGATTCCAGAGTCGGAGTCACTTACATTCTTATGGCAATGGGAGTGCGGAGGCTATAAGTATAGAACACCATAGATGTTAGTAAGGTCTACATTTCTCAAATTCAAAAAAATGAGAAAGTTCAGAGGCTAAAAGTAGAAAACAAAGAAGAGTTTTCAGAAGGTCCTTAAGTTTCTAATTCAGTCTTCCTAAGAAAGGCTGGAGGGAAGAGAGAGAATACTGCAAAAGTATGGAGAAACTACAATAACGGTTGTTTGTTGTTGTTGTTGTTGTTTTTTAAGATACTACACAAAAAATCTTTCTAAATTAGATTGTCAAAAGCTTTAAAAGTCAATAAACTTGAACTATTTCCCCCCCACATCAGGCAAAATCACTTAGTTGCTAATGACTACATGGAAACTTTCATAGAAGGACCCAGAAAGAAAAGTAGCATTAGGTAAATATCACTAAAGAGCTATGTGTTGACAAGGTCCAGTTTAAAAGTTTCTCCCACTTTTTGAAGAGCTCAGAACAAATGTCCTGTTACAGCAGATGCTTGGAACATCCCTGATGTGCTGTCCCATCCTATACAAACTGAAAGGAATATAAGAGTCCTAATCAAATGGATGACCAAAACTGAACTAATGAGACAGAAGATTTCATATAGATATATATGTATAGATGCTGCAAAGACAGAGTACAGCTTGCAGAAATTTCAGACAGAAGTATAGGTCGCTGTGTCTTATCAGAGAGGGACTTTCCATGTGAGACCTGAGGTCAGAAGAATAAACTGACTCAGGATCAACATAGCATTTGCTTCAAGAAAGCAGAGCCAAGCCAAGGGAAGCAACTGCCATCAGGCTTCCACCTTCTATGTTTCCATCCCTCTCTCAATGACCTCTTCCTGTGTGCCTTCCTCCAAAGCACATCTTTGTAATTCACAGAATCTCAACAGATAACATAACCAATGTGACACGTGACACCAGAAATATCATTTCCATTCTACTCTGTAACAGAGCACCAAACTAAGCATTTAAACTGAATAAATTGGCACAAAGAAACATATTCAAGGGCTATGGGTCATATAGCTACAGCAAATCAACTATATTACATGTATTTTCCATGTGTTTTCATTGTTAAACCTAATAATGCTCTTCTATATCCTAGTGCTTGCTTTTTACTCTTATGTTTATGTACATCATAAAAGATTTCCATCATTACCAAAAGGAACATCAAAGAAGTTTTAACTTGGATCAGCTGACTTTTGTACAATGAGCTTCTCCATCTTAACATTGCAATATTATTTTTTAATAGGCTTTATTACTTTTGGGTAGTTTTAAGGTTGACAGCAAAATTCAGCAGAAGGTACAGAGATTTCCCATCTACCCATTGCCTCTACATCCTCCTCCATAAACAACCACCCCACCAGAGTGGTACCTTTGTTATACTTAAGGAATATACGTTGACACATCATTATCACCCAAATAATTATTTTCAGTATATAATGCTTTTGGATTGGGTTTGAATGCTTTCCATACACATATACGTGTGTATGTTTCATATAAGCTGCTGTTTTTCTTGGCATAAAACCTTTCATATCTTTGAAAGGATTAGAATGCATATGGAAAATGATAATGATGTCTGAGCCCTGGGATATTTCTGAGATCAAACTGAGAAAAAGGAAATGTACATTTAGAAAGATTTCAATCCCCACATACCTCCCACAATCCTAATCTGTGGGTAATCTACATCTAAATTTTCCTATTACATACATATTATCAGAAGCAAAAGTAAAAAATCATTCTTATTTTGAGACATAGTTCATTAATAAGAACAACAGCGTATCAGTTATAAACATTTAGAAAGTGTTTATAACCTAAAACTGAAACTACAGTAATACCATTAACTTGGTAAGGAGAGTAGACATTTGAATTTGGACTATTTATAAAAGCACCCCGGGCAAAAAACTGGGAGGGCTCACTCATGAACACTGAGAGTGACACCATTTCACACAGTATCTTAAAGGACTGCTCCTTTTCTTCATTAGACTGGTACACAATTCTACTGTTTATCTTATCAAAACTCAGATGTTCTCCAAAAGGTGTTCAGTATCTTCCACAAGGAAGAGAATTAATGACAAGAAGAGTCTTTATCTCCTTGTTTCTCCCATACAATTATCATTCCATCAAATTCACCTGAAAATGTGCTCAAATGCTTTATCCTAAGCGCCATTTCAGAAGTTCTCAGTGATCCAAGTACTAAAAACAGCATCATGGTTCTAGGGACTGCTAATCCTACAAACATTTAGAGCTACAAATGAATCCCTCTGCTCTTGAAATGTTAGAACCTTTCTGTTAAAGGTGAAACACAGCCCCAGTTACTAAACTTAGTGTTACCCCAAATAGTGGACCTCACTTCACTTTCCACATCACGGGGACCAATACAGTTTTAAAATCATGTTCCTCTCCTTCTGACTAGAGAGATGTTGGGCCATTCATTTTTTAAAACAAATCTTCTGATCACTTTCATCAAGCACTTAAATTCCAAAACTTTGATGTGATGAGTAATCCTAATTTGAGCCGGGGTTCTTTCTTTGTTCATCTAAGAATCCCCAACAAATTTGAAGCAACTTCTATTCTCAATATTTATGTTGACATAAGTAAGTCATGGTTCATAAATCTTCAAATTATTCATGCTCTAAAGTGACAGCTTTCTAATGTGTACCACTTAGAACTTACGAATTCTTTAAGAATATTCATTAGCACAGGCTGTAAATGCAGTCTTAAATATTTATTTAGAAAAATTGTATAGTGATGTGGTTAGGAAAAAAAAAATTTGAAGTCAAACTGCCTGAGTTTGAATCCTGGTTGCTTCATTTATTAGCTATGAGGACTTAGGCAATTCTCTTGATTTTCCTGTGCTTCAGTCTCCTCATATGTAAAGAATGGACATAAATATGTGAGCACTTAGAATGATGCATGGCACCAACAGGAGGCCTTGGCAAGAGATTGTTGGGTAGAAATGGAGAGAGTACATATATCTCCCTGGCTGCTTCTTCACAGGGCTATGATTTGGCAATGACTATATTTCCCTACGTTATAGCTCCTTTCCAGTACTCCCTCTTTCTTGGCCTTAGCTCTCATTAGGTTTTGCTAACCAGCCCTTCTATATACTCTTCTTTAGACCAAGGAGAGTAGTAAAACCTTACAAGGCTATTGGTCCCTGGGGACCTCTAATCTTTCTTTTTTCTTAACCATTTTTTTTATTAGATTCTCTCTAATTTTCTTTCTCTTATTTTGTCAAAGCCTCAGTAAATAGCTCCTTCATTAGTTTCTCTTCATTAAATCCTTTCAAGTATGGCATTTGTCTCCTGCTTGGAGGTTAACAGATACTCACAGGGAAGACTGTAGACTTTATCCTATAGTTGATGTAAAGACATTCAAGATTTAAGTGCAGGAGGAACCAGGTTAGTTCAGCATTTTATTTTTCATCCTGATAACTGTGGGCAGGATGGATTTCAGGGGCCAAATACTTGCTTCAGAAAAAGTAGTAAGGAGGATTCTACAATTAACCTGGTAAGATAAGGTGACTGGCCAGAATAAAAATAGTGAGTATGGATATTTGAGAGATAAGATACTTGAGAAGCATTTAGGAGTTAAATTCCCTAGTACTGGTAATTGATAGAATGCAGATGACAAAGGAAAGGAAGGGATCAGAGGTGAAGGCCGGATTTCTACCTTAGGAAGTGACAGAGTGATTGATCATGCTAATGACCAATAGAACAGAAGTCTTGCCGAGCTACCGAATGCAAGAGTAGAAGTGATTTACCAGGGAACATATGAGCTAGTTTTCTCCATGTTGAGTCTGAGGTGTCTGTGTGATATAAAAGTGATGTTTAACAGGTAGTTATACATGTGAGCCTGAAGCCTGGGAAAAGACTTGAACTTTAGATGTTACTTTTGGGAATCAACAACCACCTTGGGAATGGTGTTGAGGAGCTCCACAGGCATCTAAAGTATGAGCAGAGGAAAGGAGGTTATGAAGAAAACAGAGAAGGAACGGCCAAAGATTTACAAGAAGGAAAAAAAAAATCATGTGCTCAGCCCAAAGGCCAAGGGAGCCAAGAGTTACAGGGAGGAAGGAGATATCAAGATTGTCAATTGCAGAAATATCAAATAATCAGTGTAGCTACTACAATACTATTTCACTACTGAGAAATAGCTACTAGTTTTGATGTTTTGATGCTTTTCTCACATTTTAAAAAATATTATGGACCAAGAAATGCTGGTGTTAATATCCAAAGCGCTGTTAAAATCTGTAAACATTTTGAAAAAAATATTTACCTTTTGATGTAAACCTAAATGGCACATGTCTTCCTTGGATATGCAAGGTTTTCCACCAGCTTCCCTAGAAGACAGGCAAATGAGCAGATCCCAAGAGCCCAAATCACCTATTAGCAAAAGAATATTGAAAAACAATTTTTTATCAGATTTTTGAAGGCACCATTTTTAGATTTAAGAATGTTATTATTTAAATCCTAAAACACAAGAAAAATGATTCTGAATATATTTAAAAGTCAATATTTGAAGTAACTAAAATTTTCAACTTTTCTAATTTAGAAACATTTTTATATTTAGTATTATATCAGGGAAAATTCACTTATCTAAAGCAATGTCATAAAACTCCTTTAAAAGACTAAAAGTTAAATGTTTTAGGTCACTAAGTTCATAAATTTATAAAGTCTTATTTGGAGATTGGGAGGAAAGATGATTATAAACTCTTTTAAGATAGGAGGTGATTGCAAAATCAAATAATGATAAGCCAAAACACCAAATATTTTGTTTTAGATTTTGGTATCACCATTACTTTTCACAAATCTGAAACAGATATACTTTTATATGATTTCTTACAAAGAAAAAGTGTGGTCAGCAGAAAATAAAGTTTAATGAAAATTTTAAAAAAAACAGGTTTTGTCTAAAAGGAATTTGTAGTCTAGTTACAGATAGCAGAGTTGAGCTCAAAATACAGAGTATAACATGGATTCAAGTAAATGATATTTCAGGACAAAACTCTTTGCCAATAAATCTAGTAACTTGACAAAATAATTTCAGAAGAATACATTCTTGCATAATACTTGAACATTTGAAAATTAACATTTGTGTGTTATGAGTTTATTTTCCCTTACTCTCTTTGATTTATTTATATGTTTTTTATCAATATGTCTTGCATATAATTGGTGCTTTAAAGATATTTGTTATATGAGGGGCACCTGGGTGGCTCAGTAAGTTAAGCCTCTGCCTTTGGCTCAGGTCATGATCTCAGGATTCTGGGATCAGCATTGGGGTTCCCTGCTCAGCAAGGAGTCTGCTTTTCTCTCTCCATCTGCCTGTCCCCTACCCCCAGCCGCTTGTGCATGTGCTCTCTCCCTCAAATAAATAAATAAATAAAACCTTAAAAAATATATTTGTTAAATGAATGAATAACTAGCCCATGAAAGGGTGGTAAACATGTTACTTTAGAGACAATATAGAAATAGGTATCTCAAAAATAACCAGAAAAAGAACACTAAATAATGTATGAAAGGATTGATATTACTTGGGAAAATTCCCTATTTTGGGTGGAAATCTACTTTTAAAAACTTAAGCAATTTCTATACACATGGCCTGTTTTGTTGATCAGTCCTGAGATAATGTTCCTTCATAAATATTTATGCCAGATCTCACAAGTCATCTCTTGCATTAGGTATTAGTGGCTTCTAAAAAGCTAGAAAATAACCAAATCTTAAAAAGTGTCTCACTTGAATACATAATGCTTTGAAAGAAGGGTTTTATAGAAAAAAACAAAAAAAGATTGATAAGGAAGAGTGACCTATGACCATCAGGAATGAAATTTCACTCTGCACTAATCAAATCCTTTACATGTGGACAAGCTCTATGCTCTCTGAGCTATTGGTTCTTCTGTTTGTAACTGTCCTGTTCCTAGAAGAGAAACCTCTCCGCCAACAAAGGGACCCAGACAACTGAACTCAAGGTAACATGTGAGCTTTTGTCCTAGAGCTTCTCTGTTTGCTCAGTTATCTCAAGATGCTGGAATATAGCACAATAGTTCAAAGGGACATGGAGAAATGATGCAGGTGATTTAGGGGTGGGAGAAATCTATGTAATAGCCATTGGCCTTAGGCTTGAAAGGTCTATGCTATTCCATGCATCCTCACTTTGAAGGAAACTCCAAATGGGTTCCTGGAGCCAAAACCAAATACTCTATGATGATTCCACTACTTTATTGAAAATGTGCACCTGGCACTTTCAGCCAAAACCTTTTGATATGGATTCAAAAGGGAAAACACCAAGATGGTTTCATTTGATATTATTTCTAGCCCAAGAAACACTAAAACTCTAGAAGAAACCTGACATTATATACTCAACCAAATATTTTAAGAAGACAAGGATATGCAAAAAGAGGATTTCAAATCATGAACTGTATTGTTTGGGCATTAAAAACACAGTATTTTTTATATTCCTCCAAGTCTGACACATACTCCCCTTCCCTACCCAAGGCGTACACATAATTTCTCAATTTGATTACAATATATATATTTAATCCATAACTGTTCAAAACTGGAAGACATGTTTAAATAATTCAAAGCATCTAATGTATTAAGAACCTCCTATGAGCAGGACATTGTACTGGAATTATGAGTGTAAATAGCAAAAACAAACAAAAAAATACAGTCACTGCCCTCAACCATCTATGAGAGACCTAAATGAACATTAAAAAGAATTTAGGATAATTTATAAAGTGCCATACAGTTTCTTGACATTCATAAGGGTTACCCCTTACCTCTCAAAACTATTTAACAATTACTTCAAATTTAAAATTAATATTTCAAAAATACTTTATAGCACATACATTTACCCTTAAAATGAAAGTAGAGCATAGCCAAAAATTTCAAGTAATCTCTTCAGATACTTCTTGCCTAATTCTTGCCACCACAGTCTGAAAAATGCTGATTGTTTCCACTCAAAATTCCTATTGTTACCCTCACTGAGTCCTACCTCAAACTTCTAAATCTCTATTTCCTAGTTAAATCTTGAGTTTAATGGAAATGTATTTTAGATAAACACATTCAAGTTTATAATTTAATGCATATTTCAGTGTATTATTTCATTCAGTCTTAGTAATAAAAAATAAATTTTAAAAACTAAAAAAAAAAAAAATCTTGAGTAGACCTTTTCACTTTCTCTTCATTTCCATCTTGGACCTTAAAAGTCAACTCCCTCCCCTGATGCCCACAGCCCCTTTTTAAAGAAAAAGCTTTATTTGTTTTATGAGTGGCACCATGTATTCAAACTTGGTTTAAAAAACCCCAAAAGCCACACTGTAGTTAGAAACCAGGCAGAGAAAAAAGCACATTCACTAGCTGAGAAAATCACATTCAGAAGTCAACCTTGGGTCATTTGGGAAACAAATTTGTACCTTAGCAAAATTACAAATTGCTGAATATTGTGGAGTTTTGGGGCTGTGCTCAACTCGCTGAAAGAAAGAGCAGTTCGGAGGCAAATGCCCTGGGAGGGGGAGGGTACAGCAGAGATTGCAGACTGCAGGCACATTGAGGCGGGGGGCAGCCTGCATGTGGGGTGCATTTGGCCTGCATGAGTATTGTTTTGTTTTTGTTTTAAATTTTAAGTATTTGCCATAATGCGAATGTCAGCATAATTCACATAAAAATCCAGATTTTTGTCTTCGTTTGAAAACTTGGAGGCTGTGGCGATACTGGGTCCATTTCCTACAAGGCAGAAGGCAGCCACTGACGGAGCTGAATACAGCCTCCCACATTTTCTCCTGTTTATGCCACGTGGCCCGGCCTGGCCCCAACTGCCTGGCTATGCCACCAGGAGGCGAACAGTCCAAGGCCTGGTGTAAAACACTGTGTGTCAGTGCATGAGTTGCTCATTCAGCACGTTGATGTTCCATGCTTTAGCTTTCAAATGAATTAAAGTTGTTCATTAGGTAAATTGGTCTTGTTAAGATGACTGTAGGCAAATTGATATTTGGTCAGTTGGTCTGTTTTTTTTTTTTTTTTTAAGATTATTTATTTATTTATTTGAGATAGAGAGAGTGAGAGAGAGTGCACGAGAGGGGGGAGGGTCAGAGGGAGAAGCAGACTCCCTGCCGAGCAGGGAGCCCGATGCGGGACTCGATCCCGGGACTCCAGGATCATGACCTGAGCCGAAGGCAGTCGCTTAACCAACTGAGCCACCCAGGCATCCCTGGTCAGTTGGTCTTAAAAGGATATCTGAACACACCGTTTGATCTCCAGATTTGGCCACCATGCTCTCCCACAAGGCTGAGTAAGGTCATTTCAACTCCAAAGACATTTTACTGGCTGTTAAAGTTGGTAAGGACTGAAATGTGGTCTCTTAGATTAGTTCTTTCTCTCAGGAGCCTGGAAAAATCATGAGTGGCCTGTGGACATCTTTTTCACTTTTGTCTCTTCTCTCCAGTTGGACCGGTAGAGAGACCCAGGTATCATTCCTAGGTGGGCCTGCTCTCTTTCTCATCCACAGTTTCTCTTTGGACTCTTTTATGACATTCAGCCTGTCTCAGGGCTATTGCCATAGTTTTAAGTAGCCTATGACAGGGTGTTTTTGGTTTTTTTTTAGGCACTGGGGCAAACATTCTGTATGTTGGTCTTACTCAATGTGTTTCTTCTGCCCTGGAAGGTTGACATTATTAGAGTGTAAGAGCTGAGAAGTCAGATTTGGATTTGGAAAAAAAAACAGGCAAAGCTGCCGTGGGCCAACTTGGGTGGTGGTTTCTTAGGTTTTCCTGGCAGAGGGAAAAGGAGACCTTTATACGATTCTGCCTAGCTCCTTAGAATATTGCACTAAGATTTGAGTGCCAAAGCCATTAGTAAATAAACTGTAGTACTAGTATTAGTAGTGATGATATCAATAGTAAATCTTTCTTGAGCACTTACAGTAAGCCAGGAACTATTCCAAGTATTTATATTAATTCATTTATTCCACACAACATCCTCCTAGATATGATTATTCTTTTTTTGAAAAGCACAGTAAGGTTAAATAACTTGTTCAAGGTCAGCCATCTAGTTAGTGGTGGGAAGAGAATTTGAACACAGGAAGTTTAGCTCCAGGGCCCATGTTCATGACCATTATATCATTATCCCTTCAAAAACCACAGAGGCAATAGAAAAATTCAGCTTATGCTACCTTACATATTTTAACTTATGCAGAACTTCCAACAACACTATGGGGTAGAAGCAATTATTCCACACACTTTACAAAAGAGGAAACTGAGACAAAGAGGGATTACATTGGTTTGGTATTTTTCCAGCTACTCTTTAGTGCATCTATTTTCCTTTGGGATCTTAGAGGCAAAAAGGACTATAACAGGTATCTCGGGCATTCCCAGACTCTCACCCAGCAATAG